TCCTGTATCAGGAAGCCGGCTCCATGCTACTTCGTCACTTGTGACAAGAGAGTATGGAGCCGGCTTCCCGGCCAATCAGGCTTCCTACTTGGTTGGAAAGCTGGCCAATGAGGAAGCCAGGAGCCGTGTAATGACGTGGTGCCCGGCTTTCTGATTGGCCAGAAAGCCAGCTCCATGCATATTCGCCACATAGTTACGAGAAGCATGAGGGCGGCTTCGGGAAGCCGTGTGGCGAGTCATTACATGCTGCCTGGCTTCCTTAATGGGACTTCCGGTCCTCTTAAACAAAAAAAAAACAGTATCGCTGAATCCCTAATATATATCCCTAATGTATATATATATATATATACACACACACATACATACACACAATATATTAGCCCCACTGCTAAGAACAGACACAGAAGAAGCAGAGAAGGTATCTGGGAAACCTTCCTCAAAAGGCTGTGAAAGCCACACGAGGAGGACCTACACCTAGGCCTTCCCATCCCATGAAGTCTTCCAGACATACGCTATCCCCAACTGGGGGCACCTGCAGCAGGAGTCCAGCATGTTCTACCTTCTGGCAATCCAGAGGGCCACCGAGCCCTCCAGTGATATCTGCCCACCACACAAGAGATGAAGAGCACCCAGATGTGCAAACCACTGCTTTCCATAAAGAGACTTCCGGTAGAGGAGAGCCAGATGTGGAGGGCGGGGCCAGCCAATACAAACTGGGATTTAAGGAAGGACTCAACACTGCCTGTCAGTGGAATCCAAAAAGTCAACCAACTTAGTGGTCCCCCTGTTATGGTGGGTCACTGGTGTGTCTATGACAGATACAGACTACCGGTTTATAAACTTCCTCTCCATGGGGAAAATCTCTGGTGGTGCTTCCATTCCTTCCAGAGTAATGGCTCCAATATTGGGTGATAAAGAAAGGCTAGTAACAAAAATGATTAGGCGTTACAGACTGTTCTCGGAGCTGAGGAAAAGGTATCCAACCTCCTAGGACACTAGCAATAAACTGAGGCACCCTGGATAGAGGTAGGGTTATACGGAGGCTGCCTTACAATTTGTGTTTACCGGTGTCCAAAGCTCCTGTAGGCGGCACTATTATCCCGATGCGTCTGAACTCCTGTGCCCCTCGATGGACGAGAAAGAAGTTCAGATTCTTACAAACATCCATCGCCGATTCTTTCTTCAAGAACTTTCGGCAGAATAGAGCGTAACCCTTGCAGTGGGGCTGCCCCAGCATTGCAAGGGTTAGGGTTCATTTTGGTCTAGGGTGTAAAAAAAAAGATATATTCACCCAACCCTCGGTCCCACAGCCTCTCTCCCTCTCCGCTGTGACGGTCTAGGGGCCCGTGAGTCATCATGTATAATAGAGTGCTTCCGACATGAGGACGCCGAGGTACATCCCCACCGCTGGAGAGGAGGGCGGGAGGCTGCGGGGACCGAGGATCAGGCGAGTAAATGAGCCACTTAACCCTTGAAGCGCAGGAGTAGCCCCACCGCAAGAGATCTGCCCCGGAGTTCTCCCTTAACTAAACTCCCCAATAAGACTTCATATTCTATATACAGATTTCCTTCCAAATCAACAAATGTCCAAATGTCCTTGAGTTGGAAAAAGTCCAGCGGAGGGCAACCAAACTAATTAGGGGTATGGAGGACCAGAGCTACGAGACAAGGCTACTAAATTTAAACATGTTCACATTGGAGGTGAGGAGATTAAGGGGGGATATGATTTCCATGTACAAAATGTTCAATGGTGGTAGCAACATTAGCGATAAACTGTTTAAAATTAACTCCATTACAAAAACTAGAGGCCACCACCTAAAATTGGTGGAAAAAAAATTCCAGCACAAGGGGCGAAGGGGGTTCTTCACAGTAAGATCAGTTAGGGTCTGGAACTCACTGCCACAGGCGGTGATTTCAGCAAATAATGTGGAATTGTTCAAGAAACTTTTGGACGATTTCTTAAGGGACCGCAATATACAGGGGTACGGGTACTCCTAGAATGAGATCCTAATAGGTTGGACTTGATGGACTAATGTCTTTATTCAACCTCAAATACTATGTAACTATGTAACTATGTAACACAGCTTTGAAAAATAACTTTTATTTCACATTGCATTTACTTGAGAGAGTGAGTGTGTGTGTGTGTGAGTGTGTGTGTGAGTGTGTGTGTGAGAGTGTGTGTGAGAGTGTGTGTGAGAGTGTGTGTGAGAGTGTGTGTGAGAGTGTGTGTGAGAGTGTGTGTGAGTGTGTGAGAGTGTGTGAGAGTGTGTGTGAGAGTGTGTGTGTGTTCGTAGAAAATGAACCATCGCCATGCAACATTCCTGGTTCCTATCCCTCTGCTGAACCGACATGGAGGACCTGCGCGGCGGAGTAACGAGGAGGAAGAGAAGGGAGCAGATAATGAAATGTATGGCATTGTACCAGTAGAAGCCCCTGTGGTGGTACCTGGGGAGCCCCCCTCATACGCACACACAAAGTGTGACATCTTTCATCTCCTCTTAGCCTGGAGGATCACAGCCGGCATCAACACATCACAAGGGAGACCCCGAGGTAATGTTCAACCCGACAAGATGCTTGCCGGCACGGGGATAAAATATTGAAGAGGAAAACAACAATAAAAAAAGCAACGGCGGTAATCCGAAGCTGCCGTCAGATTACATTGCGTCCTCCGCCCCCGCATGGTGGAAAAAGAATATGGTACAGCAAGACAAGCGTCAGCCGTCAGGGGCACAGCTAGAAATACAAATAAAACCCGTATGCTTTGTTCCTCAATAAATATGCACCGATGTTACGGCAAGCAATGGCGCAGCGCTCGGCATTCTGGGTATGATCGCACTGAAACAAAAAAAGGTCCAAACGGTTCTTTGTAGTCAGAAAACAAAGAGATATCGTACTGACAGCAGAACACAGATTGTGGGACAAGACTTTGCATGGAAGCCGGGCATTCCCCTGACAACGCTAGTCCCCCCGGCTGCCATGATGATCCAGCAGCTTCAGTAATAAGTCAATGGGAGGGATTCATCAAAACTGGAGCAGACAGAATTTGGAGCAGCTGTGCATGGCAACCAATCAGCTTCTCTTCAGTTTGTTCAGTTAAGATTTGAAAATGAAAGAGAGAAGCTGATTGGTTCCCCTGCACAGCTGCTCCGGTTTTGATAAATTCCCCCCGGTGTCTTGGGACAAGAAGGCAAATCAGACGTCACTCTGACTTTCTCATCTGCATGCTTGTTCCAGGACGGTGACTCAATATACTGAAACCAGAGAGAGCCAAGCAAAGAGCATTTCCTGAAGGGAGGCGGCAATGAACTTCTCAATTCTGGGAAAAGTAAAAGCTCTGCGAGGTTTTTATTGGTGTCTGAGTCCCCATTATAAGGTTTGGGCAGGAGCCAATCGTACTCTCACACCTCCCTTTCCAAATCTAGATCATGTCCCAGCGTTGTTTTCCTTCATCTTGTTCCTGTACTAAGAAAGTAACATTTATTACTCCCTGTGATGTCATCACCAGGCTCGTAGGGGAAGCTGCTAGGAGCTCAGTTCCCCCCAGAACTAAATCTTCCAAAAACCCTTTCCATACACACAGTGAGCAGGCAGGTTCTTCGGAGTCAAGGCAGGGAAAGAATGAATGCATGTGGAGCAGGACAGACGGGGCAGAACGGTGGAGTTCTGTAGTGCAGCAAGCAAGGCTGACAACACTGGTTGGGATTTCAGTGTAGAGTACTGTGTTGTCAGCACAAAACAGGAAGTTAGGAGCGCACTGTTCATCTGGCAGATCAGACATTTTTTTGCACTGAGATAAAACAAGAGGATATGTATTGCAGGAATGTACTGAACATTTTATTATTGAATTTGCTCCGGGCCTTCCCTTCAGTCTTGCACAGTTTTACCGGCTCCTTTCCTGGACTTAAAATGCTTCCTCTGATTTCCTAGCACACTGTCATCTCCTCACAATGTGCATTAGAAGCTGCAGCAAGTCAGATAGAGCCCGCCTCATTTCCTGGCTATAGGATGTCCAGCATCATCTAACGCTTCCTTCCCAGCCTTACTATAGCTGGCCCCGCCCCCACCCCCCTTTCTTGGATTTCAGTCCTTTTAGAGGCTCAGCATCACATCTGGACACGACCACATCTTCCCATTTTCAGGAATCTGCACACTACTGGCTCCTCCCAACAGCCATGATTTGCCTGCATTTCATAGGGAAGCACGAACACTCAATGATGACATCACTGGGTATAGAATAAGGTATGCAATACAATGGAAAGGTTTAATTTAATAAGCATGTTAATTAGGAGGGAAAAGAAGAACCAGGGAAGGTAAAATATCAGCTGATTAAACTTCAGCTTCAAGGAGATCGCTCTTCTCTTCCTTTCTCAGTGACCAATCATTACAGCACAGACAGCAATAAAAACCCTCACAAAGGATCTAACCCATATCCCTCTGCACAATAACGAAAAATCTTTCCATTGCCGAGGAATCACCTCTGGTTTCCTGTCTGGGGCGCACCTTTCACCAGCACAGGGTCTAAAGTCAAATTGCCCCAGTGGCAACACAGATAGTAATGACCAGAGGTTCACATGTCA